CACCCCCCACACTGCACCTCTCACACCTCCCCACACACCCTTCTCGACCCCCACACACCCTCGGTGACCTGTGACATACCCTTGTGACCTTCCTCAAGCCACACCCTCACACACCCTCCCCAACCTGTGCCACACCACCCACACCCTCCTGGACCCGCACCCTCAAACACCCTCCCTGACACTCACCCCCCCTCAGACACCCCCCACACTGCACCTCTCACACATCCCCACACACCCTCCCCATGCAGCCTCACTGCACCTCTTGCGCACCCCCTCACTCTCTCCCCCACCCAGCAGCAGCCACTTACCTGCCTGCTGGCTTTGGACTTGCAACTTCCTCCCAGCTTCCCCACTAACTTTGCTTGAGAGAAGCTGGCAGGGAGCATCAGCAATCACAATCGAGTTTAGACTTCCTGGTGGCTTCCCCACTGACTTGTGGGAAGCTGTCAGGGAGTGTTGGAAATGACAATCACATGACTGCGGCTGACCGCAGTGGCGCTGAAGCAGCCAAACTTTGCCAAATTTCAGTCCCACAGGAATAATAGGTCCTGGATTTTGGATGCATTCTATAAGTTAGCCCATTTGAGGTACCTTAGTTCAAAAATTGTTGCCCTATGATGCACCATTCACCCAACTGAAGGTTACAAACAGATACAAGAATTTTAGTAGCATATAGATGTGCCAATTGTTTTGCTCCCAGGCTATGACAATCCTTTCCATGTGTGAAAGTGCAGGGTTACCTTCTCATGGTGGTAACAACAGTCCGATCATGTCTCTTCAGGAAAGCACGGAATACTGGAATCGTTTCTCGGCACTGTGGAAACAAGAGGTTTGGATTATCAGGATGACCGGATTATATATGAAATCGGCCAATTTGTGTTTCAGGGGAGGGGGGGAAGTATTGTGGATACTGCCAGTTTCTAAAAGTGCTGCATTAGAATCTAGAGCTGTCTCTAAACTCAGCTCTCACAATTTGCAACATCATTCGATCACATGTTAGAAGTTTAGCATCCAAGACCCATCAAGGAAAGTGTGTTATACTAAATCTCTCTTCAGGGATATGGTGGTGAAAAAAACAAGGACTCAAATGAAGGCAGGTCACCTGGTGTACAATATAACTGTAAGTATGGATGAATTCATACTTTCGTGTCTCTTATTTTAAATTTTCATTATTCTAAGTAGGTCTCAGAACAAAAATGAGAAGTACATCATTATACAAACCGAAGAATATACCAGTGGATAACAGGAACAGATAAATTTCTAGTTCATCATACCTAACAACTTAAAACAGTTCTGTACTGTAGAGAACTGAATATAGAATATAAATGTAAACATGTTTTTAGTATCTAGTTACTATTGGTTGAAAGTTTCAAGCAATGCACTCATGGATTGAATGATTTGAATGAATATGATTGATAATGATTTGAATGAACACATACTTCTTTTTATGTAATAAAAACAGATGTATTTCAGCTGGCAGATTTGTTGCCAACATTTAACTTGTTCAACTGAGCTTGTGAAGAATGACAATCAAGCCCACTCTTCTCTGAGTCCCTCTGGAGATACACGCCATCTCTCCAAATACAGCATGGAAACCTGAAGCAGTGGGGAACTTTCATGTACATGTGAAGGTGGGACTCAGCTTGTCTCTGCCTGACTTGAGCTTTATTTTCCAGGAACAACATGTGGGCACCCTTCAGCTTTGCTAAAGCAGAAATCATTTCACATTACCCCAATCTATCAGCACTCTGTCACAGCATAACTCTTCGCTTCCTTGGCCAGGCAGTTCATAAAATGCTTTCTGTCCAAAGGATATCATGTTGTTACGAGTGTTAATTAGAAGCATGTGTATCTGCTACAGGTCAAGACTGTTTCATTAAAGGAAAATTTGTTTTGACAATCAGTAAGAGAAGGTAACATCAAACACGTGTTAAGAATTGCTAAAGGGAGCTGCAGCAGAAAATGTATTCAGACAGCTGCCTTAATGGACTTCCCAACACATTTTGAGGAAAGTATCTATTTGTGCACCTTTTTCCCCCCTTAGAGTTTTGTACAATGATATGCGTCCCTCAATTTTTGGATAAGAACTACACCCTCCAACAATCCACGCCCAGAGGTGTTGGATTATAAAGCCCATCAATCCCCATCAACACAATGATGAGAACTGAAGTTTAACATTTTCTAAGTTGGGTTGGAGAAGGCTGGTTTAGGAACTCTCTGGGTAGGCAGACCAGATAAGAAAAAAAGTCCACTGCCATAAACCATGGTTTGCATGTACCTTTGTGCCAACTTGATGGACATTAAACTGTAATTTGTGCCCCAGCCCATGGATGTGTATGATTATGATTTGAATGAACACATACTTCTTTTTATGCAATAAAAACAGATTTCAGCTGGCAGATTTGTTGCCAACATTTAACCTAGTTTGAGCTGTTCAATGAGTTAACGTTAAGGCCATCCAATTCACAGACATGAATAAGGACAAGACTTTACAATCCTGATTAAGCATCTGATATGGCAGATATTGTTCACATTATACTATTGTGTAAATTGATATCCCATATAGCTAAAACAATCCAAGTGTCAATTCTGGAGATAAATCTGAAACCAGCCTGCCAAAATTGTCCTTTCATCCATTTGATACTGTGTGAAATTGAAATGCCACGATGAATAGCAGTTGGCTTATACCAGGCTAAAGAGATCACAGCTATGCAAAAACAGGGAGGAGGGCTACACAGTAAAATTGATTAAAATCACTTTATGAAATGTATTATTATTTATTAAACCAATCTATATAGCCACCCATCTCACCACAGGCAAATATGGGCGGCATACAACACAGCTAAAAACAGTCAATAAATACATTAAAAATATAAAAAGCAAAATAAAACAGAGAATAAAAGAATGTTTAAAATAAGGAAGCCACCTCACTAATTCCCAAAACTGACTCAGGTAGGTAATGAGGTAGGTAGGTAAAATAGGTAATGAATGAGAAGAAGGAAGTAATGTTAGTCCAGAAAGATGAAGTGAATCACAGGGAAAAAACTAACACTGCTCTCAGGTTAGAAATGAACAGACTACAAAGAAACAAATAACTCAGTAGCAATAACCTTTTGCCATAATGCATGCTGGCCTCAAGGAGGAGGAATCTGAAAATCCTCCAGGCATGATCACAGGCTGCTTCATACTTATTTTCTGGCTCCGTTGAGATGAGGAGAATTCCAGTTAAACCTGTTGTATGCATGCTAGCCAAACCCAAAGGCTTCCATCACTGGCACCATTTGAAAGTTGTAAAAGGAAAATGCCCTTCGTGCATTTTAAATGAATTAGCAAGAGTCTCCTAAACCCATAGAGAAGAATAAGCCAGATCGCGGGAGATTGGTGTACTCTTACCTTGTCTATAGTTTTCAGAATTACTGTATAGTTGTTGAAAAAGTTTGCATATGTTTGAAATTGCTGGCCCAACTTAATGAATATGTCTCCTAAGTTTTGGGCAGGGCTCCATTCATTAAGCCTTCGTGTTAACTCAGCTAAAAAGCACCTGTATTTGGAACAGACATAGAAGGGTGTTTCTATCTTTCTATCTGGCTGCAGACAAGTTGGAACAGCTGGTGATAACAACTTTATGCTTCCACATCGAAGGCATCATCTCCCTCCCCCTTGGCTTACCTTGGATACATTAATGTGTCTGTCTCTACTCTAGCAGAAGAGAAACCCAGGAAGACTACAGAAGATTATTGACCAAATATTAATTGATCACAGGTAAGTTTAATATTCAGTTGCCCAACCATAACTTGCTCTATTCCTAGAGGATAATTTCAGCATATAGGTATCCAAGTAGAAATCTGAGGAAGCAGAGAAGAGTAGCATATGGTCTGTCCCTTGAAAAATAGTCCGTCCTTCTAATTACTGCTATTCTGTGCATATTTCACTAAGAAGATCCACCGTGTCCGGTTATTGCAGCCTACCTTATACCAAGTGATTCCATACATCTAGAGTCATTTTAGGTGATTATATATTAGAGCCACCTATATATAAACAAGTATGTCAGCTTTCTATAGCCTTTAGCAAATTTGATACTTTACCTGACCTGCATTTTTTAAAAAATACATCTAAGCGTTCAGGCAGTTACCTCTGGGAAATTTTGTTAAATCACCTGCATGAATGGAATGCTTGCCAATCCAGACTTGTCTATAATAGCTGACATTACATCAGCCAGCAGCACCTGGCCAGCCTAAGCAGAGTCAGGCCTGAATGCCAGAAGGGGGAACTAAGAAATCCCAGGGCTGTAGGCGAGATTGGGAACTGGAAAAAAACCAAACCCATCTTGGAAGAAAGCAGTGGCCAAGCACTTATGTACTGTTGTCAAGAATATACAGGACATATACATATATGTCTGTGAAATCACTAGGAGATAAGCTTGACTTAAATATTTTTTTAGAACAATAGCACAGTGAAAGTTACCTGCCAGAGAAATAATACCAACACAATAAAGTATGTGGTCTTTTTGTTAGCCTCTTCTCATATGGGAACCTGTATATTCACCACTGGATGCTTACCTCCACAATAATTATAGCTAGTGTCCTATTTGATCCTGTAGTCTCAGGTGGCACAAAACCACAATTGAAAGATACTTTATAATGAGACCAGTATTAAATATTTTAAGCTCAATACATGAACCTAAGATTAAATTTGCTCTTTTATACTTGCTTCTTTATCTTGGTGACTTGCCTCTTTTTCACATTTATCCTCTTCTGAACTTTCCCATGCTTTCTTGTCCTATTATCTAGCTGTTTTCTTTAACCAGTTTCGTTATTTCTATCAGGGAATGGCAAAGGGTATATTGGAAACATTTTCCTACTATAATCCGTACGTGTTATCCTATTCAGTTCAGTTGCCATTGTATACCAGAATGAACCACAAATGTTCACTACAAAAAAAGCACAAGAATAATTCATGGAGGGTTTCAGAAGACATTGTGTCAGATGGTGGTGCACCTGAAGAAGGATTAATAGGTCCAGAACAAATGGCAATGCACATGCCTTGAATGAGTCCAGAGCAATCAAATACCCTCTTCTTGATATCTCCAGGTAGGATGGGAGAGACTCCAGCCTAAAATCTGGGAAAACTTCTGCCAGCCAATTTATGAAAGAGAGGAGAGCTGCTTAACTTTTCCCAAATTTTTCTCCTAAACATTGTAATGCCTCACTGCTTTGCCACCCACCGTGGGGGAAAAAAGAGACATTTCATTACCAAACCATAGAATTCTAGGGTTCGAAGGACCATTTAAATGGACTACTGAACCCAACCTCATACTCAGTGCAGAAATCCAGATTAAAGCATCACTAACAGCTAGCTATCCACAGGGAAGGGGAGCTCACCATCTCCCTTATTGGTTCTAGTGTTGACCTGCTCTTTACCATTAGGAAGTTTATTCTATGTTCAGTTGGAATCCACCTTTCTGTCTACACTCTAAGATGAGAACAGCCTTTGACTTTTGTGTGTGTGTGTGTCAACCCTCCAAGTATTTGAAAAGTGCTTTCATAACCAGATATCCACATAAAACCTAGTTACTAAGCTATGCAAACCATTTAGAAAGGCCACTTTGTGAAGAATATTGATGCAAGTGAAGCATTCCTTTTTAAAATGTTGAGGCAACCCTGCCAAAGGTCAGTGTGGCTGCACTGATGTCTTGCTTTCTCAGGTTATTTGCTTGAACAGACACATTCCTGCAGTGCTGGGACTGCTGCTGAAAGCGAAGTGCCTGTATGTGTGGTGATGACCTGAGAAAGCCCTCAAGGTAGCTGTACCAAGCCTTCCAAAGGATATGACTGCTTCAGTACTGCAAGGAGGGATCCTACACTTGTACCAACGTGTTTTGCACAAATCTTAGTTTCCAGACTCCTAATCATCCTTCGTGAACTTCTCTATACTATCCCAATTTCTCTGAATTGTTCTTAAAGTGTTCAGAAATGAAGGTGCTCAAAACTGGAACCAGCGATAGGGATGGGATCTGACCAGTACAGAAAATAGTGCCCCTACTACCTTCTCTGATTTGGGAGTTGATGCAGTTGCTCCTGATCTGAAATGTCCAGCTTCCTATGCTGTTTTTCACTGAAAACAAACACTTGGAGACGTGTTCTATCTGTGATTCTTATTTATGACTCCTTAACAATCCAGATTAGAAAGAAATTAACTGTACCGGAAGAGAGAGATCCAGTTTGATGTAGTGGTTAAGGCATTAGGCTAGAAACTGGGAGACCATGAGTTCTAGTTCTGCCTGAGACACAAAGCCAGCTGGGGACCTTGGGCCAGTCACTCTCTCTCAGCCCCAGGAA